GCATGGACCTCCCAGAGCTTCTCGTCGTTCTGCTGGCGCTGGTAAGCCTCCCGCGCCTCCTGGAAAGTGAGGTTGTCGTCGCCGACTACAAGCAGAACGACTGCCTGGCTCAGATTCTCAAGAATCTTTCCCAGGCAGTCCAGGTGCAAGCGGAGATTGCGAACTGTCCGCTTTCGAGTCTGGATGGTCGGCGGTTTCTTGCCGCACACGATGTGCATGTTGGCGATCACCACGTGGAACTTGTCATGGCCTGGTTTGTTCACCTCAAAATGTGAAATAACAGCATCAATCTCTCGGCCGCTAGGAGGCCTGTAAACTTTGCTGTCTTCGCACAGAGTCAGTTCCGCAGGCTGAGAAGCACCGCGGAACCCCCAGAGAGTCAAGTAGTTGTCGACCTCCGAGAAGCGAATGCCATCACCGAAAGGCTTACTGAGGATCTCTGTCACGTTGATCCCTGCTCGGCGAAAGCCTTCACGGAACGCACCGACCTCGCAGCCACAGACAATATCAGCATCAGCGGTCTCCACTATCGTGGCGCACACCCTTCCGAAGTTAGCGCAGTGAGTGGCCGCCTGCTTACCAGTCATCATGCCCTGCTCGAACCCGAAATTGAACGAGGCGACCGTGAAAGACGCAGGCTGCACAGCGCCAGAACCAGGCGTCTGTCCACCTTCCTCCGCAGGCTGAGAAGCACCGCGAGGCGGCGCAGGCTGAGAAGCACCGCGAGGCGGCGACACTTCGGACGAGCCTCGCGGAGCAGAGGCTGCGGATGAACGTTGGGTATGGGGGTACGGCCAGGGGAACGCCATTGCAATCGAAACTGAGTGGACTGCAGTGAGTGAATGCAGTGGCACGATTGAATGCAGTGGACTGCAGTGTCACTAGCAATTCCTGAACCAAACACGGCTGTGGCGGAAGGACTACGAAGCGTCTGGCTATTCAAAATGTGGCCCGGGAATGTAGTTCTGGGAACTCGAAGACCAGGAAGTGGCCTACAGTTGGCTCCGGGCATCCAAAATGTGGCCCGGGAATGGAATTCTGGGAACTCGAAGAGCACGAAGTGTGTGACTGTTGCATCCGGCCCTCCAGAATGTGGCCCGGGAATGGCGTTCTGGGATGTCGAAGAGCACGAAGTGTGTGACTGTTGCATCTGGTTATTCTAAATGTGGCCCGGGAATGGCGTTCTGGGATCTCGAAGAACACGAAGTGTGTGACTGTTGCATCCGGGTATTCAGAATGTGGCCTGGGAATGGAGTTCTGGGAAGTCGAAGAGCACGAAGTGTGTGACTGTTGGTGAAAAACGAGCCCGGCACCCTGCCGCCCGGCAACTCCCCAACACCTGCCCGGACCCCCCTGTGGAGTGATCTGTGAGCTCTTTTGAGTCAACTAGAAACCTATCAGTCTTCGCTGTTAGGTAAAAAAAAATTATCCCGGCAAAGCAACCTAACAGCGATGTGTAGAAGCATATCTGAAAGCATTCCCCTTAAGATTCAGATGAAAATCCAGTTGTCGAATTCTGCTGTTCTCGCAGTCGTAGTCGCATTCGCGATGACAGTCGCAGCGGCAACGGCAGTCGCAGTCACAGCCTCAGCCTCAGCCTGCTCCTCTTTCTCCTGCTCCGCCTCTTCCTCCTGCTCGTCCTCGTTCTCGTCTCCTCGTCTTGCTCGTCCTCCTCCTCCTGGTGCTCTCTCCTCCTCCTCCTCCTCCTCCTCCTCCTCTCCCTCAGCCTCAGCCTCCTCCTCCTCCTCCTGCCTCCTCCCCTCCTCCTCCTCCTCCTCCTCCTCCTCCTCCTCCTCCTCTTCCTGGTCGTCCTCGTTCTCGTCCTCCTCGTCTTGCTCGTCCTCCTCCTCCTGGTGCTCTCCTCCTCCTCCTCCTCCTCCTCCTCCTCCTCCTCCTCCTCCTCCTCCTCCTCCTGGTGGTCCTCGTTCTCCTCCTCCTGGTGCTCTCCCCCCCCCTCCTCCTCCTCGTCCTCCTCCTCCTCCTCGTCCTCCTCCTCCTCCTCTCCTCCTCCTCCTCCTCCTCCTCCTCCTCCTCCTCCTCCTGGTAGTCCTCCTCCCTCCTCCTCCTCCTCCTCCTCCTCCTCCTCCTCTTCCTGGTCGTCCTCCTCCTCCTGGTCGTCCTCCTCCTCCTGCTCGTCCTCCTCCTCCTCCTGCTCGTCCTTCTTCTCCTGCTCCTCCTGCTCCTCGTCCTGCTCCTGCTCGTCCTCGTAATGTGGCCCAGGAATGGGAGTTCTGGGAAGTCGAAGAGCACGAAGTGGCCTACAGTTGGCTCCGGGCATTCAAAATGTGGCCCGGGAATGGAGTTCTGGGAACTCGAAGAGCACGAAGTGGCCTACAGTTGGCTCCGGGCATTCAAAATGTGGCCCGGGAATGGAGTTCTGGGAATCGAAGAGCACGAAGTGGCCTACAGTTGGCTCCGGGCATCCAAAATGTGGCCCGGGAATGGAGTTCTGGGAACTCGAAGAGCACGAAGTGTGTGACTGTTGCATCCGGCCCTCCAAAATGTGGCCCGGGAATGGAGTTCTGGGAACTCGAAGAGCACGAAGTGTGTGACTGTTGCATCCGGCCCTCAAATGTGGCCCGGGAATGGCGTTTTGGGATCTCGAAGAGCACGAAGTGTGTGACTGTTGCATCCGGGTATTCAGAATGTGGCCTGGGAATGGAGTTCTGGGAAGTCGAAGAGCACGAAGTGTGTGACTGTTGGTGAAAAACGAGCCCGGCACCCTGCCGCCCGGCAACTCCCCAACACCTGCCCGGACCCCCCTGTGGAGTGATCTGTGAGCTCTTTTGAGTCAACTAGAAACCTATCAGTCTTCGCTGTTAGGTAAAAAAAAACGCAAGATGCAGTCCAGGTGCCATGACAGCCCCTGAACGGGCATGCAGGTGCGTCCAACAGGCCTGAGGTAGGCACCGAGACCACCAATCGCAGCCAAAATGGCGCGAAACGTTCCAACGTCCAAGAGCGAACAAGGGAACGGCCGAGGACGCCAGCCCCAGCCTGTCGGGTAACACAGAGGTCGGGGTGGTAGGTCCAACGAGGATCCCGACTGCGGCAGCGAGCCGCGGCGTCAGCGACATCAAGGTGCATCCATGTTCCGAAAAGACAACCACACCAAGACGTATCGGCCCAGACCCAACGGGTGGAAGGGCACCGAATGCACGCTCCCGTCGAAACGCGGCGTGTGCACGGCACAGTGTCACAGTGCAGTCCAATGAGGCGGAGAGCACGGGCGGAACGAGACTGTGTATACCCAGGCAAGTCCCACAAAGCCACTGCTCCAAGGTCGCGGTAGGAAGCCGTCCAGCAATTACGTCCAGAGGGCACCGATCCAAGGAGCCTGCAGGGTACCACAGGCCGACTGGGGACAGGTAGCAACTGAAGAGCAGGCGGCGAGCCAGTCGCAACGTAAGAAGCGCATCCAGGGTGTGGAGAGTGCTGACTAGACAGAACATCCACACCTGAGATGCGACAGCCCAGATCCGACGAGTGGAAGGTAAGGAAGGGCACGATGCACGGCAGACCCCTAGGAGTGTGCACATCAAAGGTGGCCCAGCGATACCCATCCGAGTCGTCTAGCACAGAGGGACGAGGACGTCTTGTACCCGAGACGTGTCCCACAGAGCCAACGGATCCAGGGTGACGGCGGAAGGCTGGTGGGGATACGCGAAGCGTCTAGAATTCAACAGGAGGCTCTCGCCTTCTCCTCTCGCGCATTCTACTCAAAGTTGGCAGTAGCTACGACGCTGGAGGGCGGCTCCTTTTCATTCGAACTGTTTTTTTTCGATTTAGCGCTGCATGCGTTTGTCTCAAACAGTTAAAACCGTTTTGTGGAGGAGCACAAGTGGTTTTCAAACTGTGGCTCTCGCCCCGGCGCCGCGCACATGCGTCCGAAAAGTTTGCAGCAGCTTCGTGGATGAAAGGCGGGTCCTCTTCAGCATGTGATGGCCCCGCGGCCCTGCAGGGGCCCCCATGTCCCATGTCCGTCCGTCGTCACTTTTGTTCGTGATGCGATCGCAGTCGATCGTCAGCCCCAGGACCTGCTCCGGGTGGCGCTCTGGCCAGAATCTCGCAGCGGATCCACCCGCGGCGACGAAAAGCTGCGCGGAGGAAACAGCACAAGCATACTTTATCAGGGGTCCGCGTGGATTTCTTGGCCTTGCGCTGAGCTCTCCTGCATAGCGCGCGGAGCACGCCAGAGGCGGCGGTGGAGGCGCTGCCAGAGGGGGGCCCGACGCCCATCCAAGAAATTCGCGCGAAACCCAGAGAACTTACGCTTGTGCCGTTGTTTGTTCTTCGGCTCATCGCGCGTCGATGCTCGAGAGGGCCTGACACCTGGACTGCAGGAGGGCGCGAGCACCTAGAACAGCCCGGCGCGCACGATCTCTCTAGACTTCGAGGCCGATGGGAAAGGGGGCCTGTCGGCAGAGGCTGCCACGCCGTCCCGTGGGGCATGCACTTTTGCGTCCGCCGGTTCCCGCCAGCCTTCAGACGGCCGAGGGCGGCCTTGCTCTACTTCCGCGGGCCTCCGCCGCCCTTCCGCCGCCCTCCGCCGACGACGGGGCAGGAGCAGCTGCGATCCTCGAAGGGCCTTAGAGGCCCTCCCCTTCGAGAACTCCTAGAAAAGGGGAGGCCCTCACCATGCCCTCCTCGATCCTCGAAGGGGAGGGCCTCGAAGGCCCTCCTCGAAGGGAGGGCCTCGAAGGCATTCCGGAATATCTGGAACGCCTCAAATACAAGGTACAGCACAGGTCAGCGGCAGAGGCGCAAGCGAGGGAGGCAGCATAGCACAGTGGTAAGTGTACAGTCATCGTGCTACCACAAAGAACGCTGAGTAATGGATAAAGAGCGAAGAGTTTTTTCCCGCCACGGCGAGCCTCGGCCACGAACGGCCCGAAAATCGTAACCCCTCCCGAGCCCAGGGCGGTTCTCATGTCAACGTCTTGACCGTAAGGCGCAGCACAAGTCAGCGACAGAAGCGCAAGCGAGAGCAGCCGGCGCACCTGCTCGAAGACGAGCAGCACCTCGGAGCCGGGCGTCAGCATCGCGGGCTTCAGGCCGTTTTTTTTTGTTTGTTTTTCTCCGGGCGGTGCTCTCTCTTTCGGCGGCGAGGGGCCGAAGCTGTGGTTCCACATGGGCGCCCGCTTCGGGGCAGCGGCCTTCCGGTTGCCGCTCTGAAGCGGTTGAAGCTCCTCCTGAAGACCCTGGGCATCCTCCAAATCGATGGGCGCTGCAGCAGGAGGAGGAAGAGGAGGAGGAGGAGAAAGCCGAAGGACCTCCACCTTGGTCTCATCCTTGCGCGACGGTGCACTCTCGCCACTTGCCTCTCGCCTCGCCTTCGCCACGTAATCACCATTCGGCGGCGAGCCCGGGGGGAAGTCAGAGAGGGCGGGCCTCCTCAGAAGGCTCGGAACGCTCCTCTCAACTCCCCCCTGGGCGCGCCGCGTACTATTGATTGATACAAGAGAAGGAGGAGGAAGAAGAGGAGGAAGAGGAGGAGGAGGCGGAGGAGGAGGAGGAGGAAAAGAAGGAGGCGGAGGAGGAGGAGGAGGAGGAGGAGGAGGAGGAGGAGAAGGAGGGGAAGAGGAGGAGGAGGAGGAAGAGGAGGAGGAGGAAGAGGAGGAGGCGGAGGAGGAGGAGAGGAGGAGGAGGAAGAGGGAGGAGAAAGAGGGGGAAGGAGGAGGCGGAGGAGGAGGAGGCGGAGGAGGGGAGGAGGCGGAGGAGGAGGATCGATCGAGCTCTCGGGCCGGTTCGGTGCTGCACTCTCGCTACGTGCTGTGCTGCTTACGAAAGTTGTGTGGCCTAGCTGAGGTCACTTTGCTGAAAGGGGGTCGCAGGCGCCACTAGACGCTCGGGCCCTACCTGCACCGACCTTCCCCCACGCAGGGGTCTGCGGGCAGGGTAGCACCCGCTTTTACGAGTGCCCTCTCGCTGTCTCCTCTACTCCCCTGCCTCGTCTGCCTCGCCCCTTTCCCCTACCCTTTCGCTTCGGTTCGGGTGGGGGCGGGGGAGGTCGGTGCACGACAAAATAGTTGGGAAAACTCGGGCCTCGGAGTTGGAGAAGGTCGGGGGCCCCAGTCGGAGGCGGAGGAGGGGGGAGGCGGCCTTCCCTGACCAGCTCGTGGAATCGTGCGCTGGTGAGAAAAGTTCGCGGGATGGCCTGAGGGGCCGCGCTCGCTGGGACAGAACAGAGCCGCACCGTCCGCTCAATCACTTCGCTATGCGCCGCTCCTCTGTCCGTGTCGTGCTGGCTCAGCTGTTGACGAGACGTCCCAGTTCTCGCTCCAGTGCTCCACGTGGCGCCGCCCCGATCTTGCGGCTCGCTCCCTCCTTGCGGAGGGCGCGCGTGAGGATCGTCTCCAGCTGCGTGTCCGTTGCCTTCACCTGGAACTGGAACCTGCACTTTTCCGTGGCGCCCCCCTCCTTGCCCTTGTTCCTGCGAACGCGGAAGATCGGGAGGCCGTCTGCTACCTTCTCCGCGCTGCCACTCAAGATGACGTCCTTGTAGTACTTCTCGAGGTAGTCTCTCTCCGCTCCTGCGTCGTACGTGCGCCCCATGTAGTTCACCACTTCGGTCCACACGCGGATGTGGGGGCTGCCGAGCGAGGCTGTGTCCACTTGTTCTCCATCTGCTGCTCTGCGTCGTAAGTCCTGCGCGTCGTCGTTGTACGTCTGGCCCGCCTGTAAGCCCGCCTGCGCGATGCCGCTCTGCGCGCTGATCTCCCACGTCTGGATGACGGCCGACGCCAGCTCGGCCTGCTCGCGCGCCAGCGTGAGGGTGAGGCGCGCCGCGAGGTCCACCATGTGCGGGTTGGCCACCGCTGTTCCTCCTCCCGTTGGTGCTCCTCCTGCGGCAGCTCGTCGTGGTTGTCGACTGCGGTCTGGTCGTTGAGGTCCTCCTGCCGCCGCCGCTGGCGCCCAGGCTGGGCGCTGGTCGAAGAGCGCCATCCTGTGCCTGAGGTCGCAGTAGTGGTCTGGGCAGATGCGCGCACAGGTGCGTGAAGAAGGCGCCCTTGTCTAAGAAGAGATGGCTGCAGAGAGGACATGTCGTGCTCGGTTTAGTCGGTTGGCTCTGGTTTCGTGTCCTATCTGGGTTGCAGCTGCCCGTGATCAAACTCCTGGCCAGGTGTTTCCATGCTGTTCCACGGCTCGTGAAGCACTGGTAGCAATTGATGCACTCGTTGTTCGTAGTTAATAGAGCGGCTACATTGTGAACGTTATGATTCCGAATAACATGACTGTGCAGTGCTTTTTTGCTCGCGAACAGTAGTCCGCTTTCCCCAGGATCGTCCCCGAGCGAGCACTTCCAAGGCTGGAGGTCCTGGAGGGCTAAGTCTTCTCGGAGTTCGTCGTCGGGAGTATAGCCTGGAGGAGGAACTGCTACCGTCAATTTAGCTGCTCTGACCTCGCGTACGTCTAGTAGGTGTAGTTGTTCTCTAATCACTAGCGTGAACATCTTACCTATCTGGACCTGCTCGTCCCCGAAGATGTGTCTGAAGCTCCCCGAGACTTGGCAGGCCTTCGTGACATCCTCCTCGATTCGTCGGGCCCAGGGGTTCGCGTGCGTCGTCAGCTCGTCTGTCGCGCCGTCGTCGTTGGTCTCGAATTCGAGGCGTCCGAACAAGGCGACGATGAGTTGGCGGTGATTGTTCGGGAATCTCAGTATATTTTTTGCCCAGCCAAGTCTGCGGACCAGTGCCTCCTCCGCTGGAGGAAGGATCTGCCAGTAGCGGAAGACCTCCAGCGTTGTCAAACTACGTTCCGAGCCGTCCTCGCTGTGCGTGCTGGCTCGGCCTGCCATCGCCCGTCTCAGGAGGGCACCCATCGCGCTCTGGAGCATCTGGTACTCGTTGGGCGTGGGCAAGTAGCACTCGATGCACGAAAGCCCCGTGTTGATAACCCTGCATATGAGGACCGCGCGCTTCCACTTGTAAGGCATCTCTCGCTTGGTCCAGAACCTGCCGCACTCGTAGTAGCTCTTCTTCATGGCCTGGATGCGCTTCTGCAACTCTGGATAGTAGCTCTGCGTCGATGTTACTTGAGGGCCCAGGTACCGAGCCACCGCCACCACTTTGCCTGGAAGTTTGCATTGCGGGTCCTTCTTGATTATTTGATGCGCCTGGCTGGCGCCTTCTCCCTGAAAGTGTACTATCGTATCCTGCTTATCTTGGTTTTGCTTCAGGCCGATCTCGCTCAAGCGTCTGTTCATCGTGTCGTCTATGTTGTGAGCCTGGTCGGCGAGCAGTTTGGGATCGGCCTGTTTCCCGTTCAAGATGATCTTGCGCATGTCGTCCGCGTACTTCGTCAGCCCCACGTATGCTGGATGTTGGAACAGTTCGCTTCTTCCATACAGTAACTCGTCGTACTCTATCTCGTCGTTGCAGCCCTTGGCCCACCTCTGGATGCAAGGGGCGAAGCTGGCTACGAAGTTGCGCACCATGTATGGGGTCGCCGATGAGGCCGCCGCAATGGGGTTTGATGCATATTCCCTGCGTGTCGTCTCTGCAATCAATGTTGAACGTCGCCCTGCGGTATCGTTGTTCTCCGAGGTCCCAGAGGTCCTGCGGCATGATGTTGCTGTTGGCCGCGTCCATGGTAAGCCACTTGCAGCTGGCGAACGCGTTGGACATGTCCTTCATGGTGGACGCGTAATTGTAGCCTGCGTTGCGAGCCCTGTACTCGATGACTGACATTGTGAGGATGGCTCCTTCTCTTCGTCGCCCCTTGATGAACCCGTAGTCCTGGTCCGTGTGGGCCTGTTGTCGTTGCCTCATGAGTCCCGCAGCGTAGTATGCCTTGCCGATGGGGTCCGTGATGTGGTAGATTCGCTTGCCTGCTGGTCCTTGCTTCGTGTTCTTCTTAACCGCCGTCGCCGTGCCTTGATGCCATCGAACTGGTGCCACGTTGCTGATGCGCATCGCGGCCAAGGCCGCCTTCAATAATGCTTGAAACTGCTCGGGTTCTCCATCTCCCTCTTGATGTCCGAGGCCGTGTCGTTGTCGTGGTTGGTGTTCCGCCTTCGGTGGGCAAAGTAGTAGTCGCCATATCTCCGCTGGTGCCGCCGTTGGTGGCGCTGCTCGTCGTAGGCGTGCTCGTTTGAGGCTTTTGGCAATCTCGTTGTAGTCTTCCTCTGTCTTTTCCTCCAAACCATCCTCGTCGTAGTCCTTCTCCTCGGCGTTGTGCGGGATGGCCTCCAGGTGCTGCGCGTCCTGCTCGGTGCCTTCCATGCCGCCAGAGCCACCTGGTAGTTGCCAAAAATCGAGCCATTCCTGCTTCGTGGGGTTCGCCGTCGTAGCCGTCCAGAAGTCCCCCTTGCGTGGTCCGCATCTTCCTCCAGCGATCAATCGTGATAGTCTTCCAACTCTTGCCAGATCCCTTTCCTCCCACGCCTCGTATAGTTCCTCGACTCGTTGCTCTGTGCGTAGTTGCTGTGCGTGTCGTCGTTGTCGTTGGCATGTCTTCGTGATGTCCTGCAGTTGTTTTTCTATCTCGCGCATGCACTGCTCGGTCTCCGTGATCGGTTGTTCGTCTGTGGCGTATGGGTTGCCTTCCATCTCTGTTTCTTCCTGGGTCCTGGGTGGGTCGGCGACCGTCCCTGGAGGGTCCCTGGATTCGAGCACGTCCGCGCAAAACGGGGGAGGCGACGATTCGGGAGCTGGCGTACGTTTAGCCTCGTGATGAGCGGCGTGTAATTCGTGAAGTACTGAACGGGCTGCTCTGCGTTGTCTTAGTAGCTGCATGCGCTCGTTGCGGAGCCTCTCGTAGTCGTCGGTCGGTTTCGGCGCCTGGCTGTAGTGCTGCTGGGCTGTCTCTACGAGGATGGTATTGATGTCCGTGAAAAGCTGATCGACTCCCTTCCCTGCTGGGTCGTAGTCCTCTATCCGTTGCCCTACCTTCTTGATGTATTCTCCTCTGTGCAGTCCGCGTCGCACTGCGAGTGCGAGGCTGTCCTTGTCCCACCTCGGTGGCTGAGGTCGCTGCCGCACTTGTTGCCGTAGAGGAAGCCGAAAAGTCACCTGCACTGGAACGTGGTCTCGTCTAGATCGGCAGCGTATGTGTTGTAAACGTGTTCCCATCCTGAGCAAGGGTCCTTGAGATATCATTGTCTCGGTCATGCTCCTCGGTATCATGATGTAGTCGATGCAGCTCGCGTTCTTCTCTCCGAAATCTGTGGGACGCCATTGCCCGAGCGTGTTCACCACGCTGAGGTCGTAGCGGTCGGCGTAGATGCGAGCCTTCTGTCCAGCGCCGCCTGGTAGTCGTTCGGGTGATCTGCCTTCTCCGAGTGCTGGTGTATCTGGTCGTCCTCCTTTCTGTGTGATGCCGATGCCGTCGTTGAGGTCGCCCGCCACGATGAGTATCGTGTGTCTATGCTTCCGTTTGCTGGTTTCTTCTATCCAATTGAACAATCTGCTCGTCGTGGCGTAGTACGCTTTCCTGGTCGTCTTGCCCTTGTTGGGTTGCGGCGGACTGTAGTATCCTATGATCAGCAGCGTCTGGTCGTGGTGCTGCAGGGTGATCGCGAGGCCTCTTCCACTGAGCTCGGGCGTCGGTTCCTGGATGTCGATCACCTTGGCCCCTCGCAGTCGTCCCTGCAGCGCGATGATGATGCCCGTGCTGCGGTTGGTCAGTTCTCCTGGTTGCCAGCCCGCGTCGTAGTAGCGTGTGTTGTCGCAGCGGTGCTGCGTGATGACTGGGTCACGTCGTCTGCGTGATGTCCCCACGAGTACGATGATGTCAAAATTGTTGGCCTCCTCGTATATTTCCGCGAGCCTGTCGGGCTTTGCCGAGAGTGGGTTGAAGAGGAGCACAGCGAGAGAAGCTGCGAGTGCCGCCATCACGCGGGCCGCCGCCCCTTTTGTTTGCTCGGTCCGAGGAACGGCATGGTGGCGGTCTGGGCTGCCCTGGCGATATCCTAGGCCCAGATGGCAGCTGGAGGAGGAGGAGGGCGAGGAGAAGGAGGAGGAGGAGGAGAAGGCGGAGGAGGAGGTGGAGGCGGAGGAGGAGGAGGCGGATGAGGAGGAGGCGGAGGAGGAGAAGGAGGATGAGGATAAGGAGGAGGAAGAGGAGGAGGAGGCGGAGGAGGAGGAGGGGGAGGAACATAAACCGAAAAAGCGTTGGCTTTCTACGGCGCGTGCAGATTTTTCTTGGTTCGGTGCTGGACCCTCCTCCCTGGCGCCGCGGACCTCCGGATGTCTGTGCACAGACAGATAAGGAGGACGAGTAGCGACGATGAGGTAGAGGAGGAGGGGGGAGGGAGGAGGGAGGAGGGGGGAGGGAGGACGAGTAGCGAGTAGCGAGGAGGGGGGAGGGAGGAGGGAGGAGGGAGGAGGGAGCGCAGCTCTCGCCGTCGGCGCGCTGTGGTTTGGCACCTGCCCCCGCCGCCTGCTCCGGGGTCGCCCGGCAGGGTGGGGCAGGGTGCCGGGGACCTCGCCTCCTCCTGTCTCTAGGAGGGAGGAGGGAGGGATGAGGAGGAGTGAGGAGAGGAGGGGGAGGGAGGAGGGAGGAGGGAGGAGGAGGAGGCGGAGGAGGAGGAGGAGGAAGAGGAGGAGGAAAAGGAGGAAGAGGAGGAGGAGGAGGACGAGGAGTAGGGAGGATGAGGTAGAGGAGGACGAGGAGCAGCAGAAGGAGCAGAGGGATCGGGAGGCGCAGGAGGGCCAGGGGAGGAGGAGGAGCAGCAGAAGGAGCAGAGATCCGGAGGCGCAGAAGGGCCAGGGGAAGGCTGAGGAGGGGAATGGGGCGGGCGACAACGACGAGATAGGAACCGCATCCAGAGATGGTCAGCGCGGGGGCGAGAACGCCATCCTGAACGACGGGAGCACAACGCCGATACCGAACTGGGCCCAGTGATGCAGCGGGAACACCACCTTGAAATACCGAAGACGCCCTAAATGGAAAAGGCCGTATAGCATGCCAACTGTTGAGACCCCGTTCAATTTTAGAATGCGGAGTAAGGACGAGAAGGGCAACCGCTCGGACGTGATCCGGTGATAGAGAGGGCAACCGAATTCACAAAGAGTAATTTTGAAGAGGGGCGAGGTCCTCCTTCTCCTCGTCCTCCTCCTGAGGAGAAGGAGGAGGCGGAGGGATAGGAGGAGGAGCAGGAGGAGGAGGAGAAGGAGGAGGAGGAGAAGGAGAAGGAGGAGGAGGAGGAGGAGGAGGAGAAGAGGACCGAAAAACGACGACGATGAACACGACGACGACGAAATGACGAGCGCCGAGGGAGCAGACGGGGAACGACGACAAGGGCGATCGCCCAGGGCCTGAGCGATCGCCCAGCGACCCTCCTAAAACGGATATTCTCAAACTTCCTGACCCCCGAAGCCCCCCTAAGAGGAAAGAGAAACAAGGAACAAGCACAAACATTCGAAGGTGCGCGGGGGGCGGCTTCTTAGATCGGCGCAAGATCAAAGAAATTCGCGCGAACCTCCGACACTTAATTATTTTCCCCTCCGACGGCGCTCGAGTGTTAGGCAATAAGAACACCCCTATCCATTTGGGACGGTACCGAGTTAGGAGGTCCGGACACATTCGAGATGTGGCGTCGTTTCTGCAATATCATCAAACAAAGCCGCACACAAGTGGACCTGAGTTCGGCTACGCCCTCACGGTGTTCTCAGGGTTAGGGATTCTACAACCAAACCGCGTAGTTAGGATAAGCAGCTTTCAAAGGTCACCCCTGCATCCTTCCCCGTCGGCACATCCTCGGCCGCTTTCGCTGGCCGCGCCCCGCCCGCAAAGTGTCGACAGGGCCTTCCAAGGTACTTGAATCCATACCGCGCATCCTTTTTACACGGGCTGACTGTATTCTTTGCTCCAGGCCTTCACTGGCGTGTCATTGGCGGGGTCGAGTCGGACCGACCAGCGGGCCACGTCCTGGGTGAGGCAGGATCGCCAGTGCAGGGCGCAGGATGCGCTTGCCTGGCCCTGGCGGGGGTTTCGAGTGGCGATGGTGATCGTGAGGAGGAAGATGATCGACCACAGTCGGACCGAGGCATGAGATCGAGGTCTGTTCGGGGAGGGTGCCCTCGTGTTCTTCGTGCCCTTGCATGCTTATCGTGCGTCCTCATGATACTGGTTGACTGCATCATGCAGGATGATCTTTTCTCCTTCGATGGCACTCGGGGCCCTCCTCTCGAGCCCGGCGGAAGGGGAGGATAGCAAAAGGGGGGTTTGAGAAACAACTCGCGTAGCTGATTTTCCCGGCGCCTCCCGGTGCCGGAGGCGCCCATGTATCGAGGAATGGGCCCCTCGGTGGGGCCGAAACCAGCTGCATGCAGCAGATTTCGCAGCCCCCCCCTTTCCCAGTCCCTTCCCTTTCCCAGTCCCCCCCCCCTTTACCAGTCCCCCCCTTTTCCCAGCCCCCCCCCCCTTTTCGTAGCCCCCTCCTCCTCCTCCGCCTCCTCCTCCGCCTCCTCCTCCTCCTCCTCCGCCTCCTCCTCCTCCTCCTCCTCCGCCTCCTCCTCCTCCTCCTCCTCCTCACTCCTCCCGGCCTGGTCCTCCCGGAGCGGTCGCCCGCCCGAGTCCTTGCCGGGCTGCGCGCGGTGGCCGTCCACGTAGACCGGGTTGGTGCTCCGCGCCCGCAGCCAGGCGCCGCCGCCGGGCGGCCACGAGACCTGGAGGCATCTTTTGCCGAACGACGCCCAGACGAGGGCAGCATCGGGCGGGGAGACATCGGGGGGGGCACGCACGCCGCCCTGCAACATCACGACGTCGGACCTCCAGTGAGGAGACCGTGCTGCAGGTCACGCCGCGAGGGCAACACTGGGCGAGGATACATCGGGGGGGGATGCACACGCCGTCCTGCAAAATCACGACATCGGATCTCCAACAAGGAGACCGTGCTGCAGGTCACGCCGCGCCGCTGATGCGTCCGCACGATGCGCTAGGTCGACCCAGAGCCCCAGCGGGCCCAAACCAGAGGAGTCACATGCAGCCCCCCCGTGGTCGCCACCACCTTAGGCTGCCCGAGCGCGGTGGGGGCCCAGAGTCGAGACGCATCAACCTCGCCAAGCGGGTGCTCTCCACGAGAGGTCCCGCTCGAGACGAAGCCAGGACGAGGACAGCATCGGGTGAGGACACATCGAGAATCTCTCAGATCTGGCGGCTCTGGAGGATTTCTCGGGCGCCGCGGCCTTCTCAGAGCGTTCCGGAACGCTCCGAGAGCGTTCCGGAACGCTCTGGAACGGGTTTCTCGTCGTCCCAGCCCCTTCCGACCACCATTCAAGGCGCGACTTTGCCTGTGCAGGCACCCCCAGGTGACTCCCCCTGTGGAGGCCCGAATGCGATGTCTGCTACCTTGCGCCGGATCCGGATGCGTGAAGCCGAATTGGCCCGTGTGTGAACGAGTCTGACTGTCAGCAGTTGAGGGGCTGAGGACTAGCGCTTCAAAAGATGGGTTGGTGGGTTGGAATGAGAATGACCCAAAACCCTGGTGCGAGTGAGACAGAGTGCGCGTGACTCCGAGTGTGAGTATGACAGTTGAGCGGATCTGAATCAATGCGTCTGAATGTGTAAGAACATGTGTGAACATACGATGAGCGAGTCTGAGTGAGGGTTGATAGGACAGAGCTCTCTTGAGTACAACTGCGTCTGCACGTGAGTGGGTCTGGGTGTGAGTGACTGTGAGTATGAGCGCGCCTGAGTTTGCGAAAGCCTGAGTGAGTCTGAGTGTGGTTGAGAACGAATGCAAGTGCGTCTCTGTGTGAATGAACCTGTGCATGAGTATGTTTGAGCATGACGAAGTCTCAGCACGACTGAGTCGGAGCATGAGTGGGTAAGCGTGAGTGCGCTTCATGGTATGATTGATCTGAGAGCGGGCGAGTCTGAGTGTGAGTGAGCCTGTGCGTGGGTGAGTCTGAGTATGGCATGAGAAATCATTGGGAGCGGGCGAATAATGTGAGAAAGGAAAAGGAGGCTTGGCACCGATACAGCAGGCACATGCGATACGAATTCTTATCATATTCAATATTGGCTAGCGAAGACCCTAAGAACAAACAATTGCACGATGGGTGTGTAAGCTATGTGTGTGTGTGCAACCATGCGGTGCACATTATGAGGTGCAAACTACGCGGTGCAAGCTATGTGGTGTAAGCTTTGCTGTGAACATTGCGTGGTGCAAGCTGTGTGGTGCAACCTATGTGGGTCAGGCTGTGTGGTGCAAGCTTTGTGGTGCACGCTATGTGGTGCAAGCAATATGGTGTAAGCTTCGTGCTGCAATGTATGTGGTGCAGGCCATCTGGTGCACGTTATGGATTGCAAGCTTTGTGGTGCAATCTCTGCGGTGTGAGCTAGGCTGTGCAATCTACGCGGTGCGCTCTACGTGGTGCACGCTATGTGGTGTAAACTATGCGATGTGACCTATGTGGTGCGAGGTATGTGGTGCAAACTCTGTGGTGTAAGCTAGGCGACGTGATGCAAACTGTCGGGGGGTGAGGCGCCAACAAGCCGGCACCAGGCGAAACCACGGCGTGCCCACCCCCCCCGCCGCCCCCCGCTCCAGCGCAGGGCGCCCACGAGGCGCCCACAGGCGGCGGGCACCGGGCGAAACCTCGGCGTAGCCCACCCAGCGCAGGGCGCGCCCACGGGCGGGCACCAGGCGAAAACTTTGGCATGCTCCTCCAGCGCGGGCCGCCCGCGAGGCGCCCACGAGCGGGCACCAGTCGAAACCCCGGCATGGCCCCCAAACGCAGGGCGCCACATTGAGGCCTCCTTGGACGCTAACATTGGCTCAGGATTGCCTGAAGAAGCAGGGATGCAAGGGTAGCCTTGACGAAGCAGCGTACTCTTGATATGGAGTTGGACTGCAATCACCCCAAAGCGCAAGCACTGTTTGAGGAACCGAAGGGCACGCTCGACGTCGGCACCTCAGCTTCCCAAGGTGTCCAAGCGCTTCTGCGGGCCGCAACTGCCCTTGGGTGGCACGACGTTCCCGTGGGGCACCCGTGGATGTGCCTACTGAAGACAAACACCCTGTACTCAGGGTAAGGGAGCCACACATGTCACCATCATCAAACAACATCACCATCACCATCACCATCACCATCACCATCACCATCACCATTACCATCACCATGACCATGACCATGACCATCAGCATCACCATCACCGTCATCATCACCACCACACATGATCAGCATCACCAGTCACCACCGATCATCACCACCATCACCATCACCATCACCATTACCATCGTCATCATCATCACCACCACCAAGCATGATCATCATCATCATCAGACGTCAACAATCATCACCACCATCACCATCGTACTCAGTGGTGAGCGACAAGGTACCCCGAACACTTTGGGAGGGGACCTACATTAGGAGGGCCAAGACATCAGGGATGAATGGGTCTGTCTGCAGACGTAACAGACCAAGCCACCCAGATGCACCGTCCCTGATGCGAAGACGGGGGCCTAAGTTAGGCCACGTCTTCATAGCGGTATGAGGATTGGGGGTTCCTTTGTCCTCGATGACTCAGGGTATGGGAGCCGCACGTAAACAACGCGCTGCGCCTAAACGAACCCCCAGCAATCCACAAACGAAGCCCCGCGAGAGGCGCGGAGTGCCGCTACTGATGCGCGACCAACACACCGCCCCCTCGCGCGCGGACTCGCGTCCGATTGGATCGGCGAGCGAACTGCGTGCGCCGTGCAATTGGACCTGAGACAGACCAGACATCCTCCAAGAGCATGAGACCCTTCGCCGGCCAACACACACAGATCATCCAAGGGTACCCTCCCCAGAGTGCACAAGAACATCCAACAAACACGGAGAAATGTGGGGTACCCTCCCCGAGCCTATCTCGATCCTGTACCTCGGTCCGGCTGTACCCGAGATGGGATGGCATCTTCAGAAGAGGCCTGCACGATGCTTGGGCAAGAGCGACGGCCTGCTCTCGCGGGCGCGGCCCCACTTCCGACCATCTTGCGAGCGACAGCGCGCCGGAGCAAGAACACACGTTCCAATTCATACTGCGTGGCGCTGGTGCGAGAACGACATGTTGCTGTTCCGTGCGCAATGCGCACCGCCTCCCGCTCCTGGCGCGCATCTTCAATCTGGCGGCGGCACGTCCAGGACGAAAAAGCAGTGGCTTATTATCGTCCGTGGCTGGTAGTGTGCAGGGACCCGTCTGAGGCCCCTTACCTGGGCGAAGGCGGCAGGAGAACGAGCGTACACTAATGCGGAACATGAGTCACAGTGAAATTCGGTATAGGAGGTTGGCGAGGAGGAGGAGGAGGAGCGAGGAATTCAGAGGAAGGAGGACAAGGAGGGAGGAGGGAGGCATGACGAGGGGGAATGACCCGGGGGACGGATGAGGGAGGAAGCGGTGGAATTGGACACTGCTGACGGCCAGGTTACGTTCGCCAGGCTTTTGGACGCTGCTCGTACACCGCGTCGAGATATGCATCACTATGTCGCCCTCTGTCCCCACCTATGGCGGGACGCGACGTTACCTCATTATGGCTCCCCCGCTGCTGCCCCCTCTCTGCGTCCCTGCACGTGTTATCCCTCAGTGCGTTTCCGCATCTCGCCATTATCTCTCTCTCTCTCTCTTTCCCTCTCTCTCTCTTCCTCTCTCTCTCTCTCTACATCCGCCCTCCCCCTTCCTCTCAACGTGCCCCCTCTCTCTCTACATCTCTCTCTCTCTCATTACTTTGATCTCTCATTCCCCCCCCATCTCTCACTCTCTCTGCCCCTCTCTCCTTCTCTCCCCCCTTCTCTCTCTCTCTATCTCTCTCTCTCTCTCTCTCTCCCTCTCTCGCTGTCGACACAGCTGCATTGCAACACGCAAAAGCTGGCCTCGAAGGCCAGCCGCGACACCGCGTACCGCTCCTGGTGGATGCGCTGAGATACGCCCAACGATAACGTGCCCCGCAAGGACGCACCATTAGTCATCGCTCTGCCCAAGGCGAATGTAAGACGGTCCGCTGTCCGCTTGGAGGGGGCTGGGGTGACGACAGGAGCGTCCTGACTCAGCGTCGGCCCCAGGGGTGCCGAATTGACGACGTGGAGAAGCCCAAGTGTGCGTCCAACCGAAATTAGGCCAGGGCTGAGGAGGCGTTCGGCAAGATGCTTCCGCTGCCCGCTCTCAGGGCGCCCTCTCTGCCCTGAGTTGGAGCCTGAACGGACCCGAGCGCGTCTGGATAAGGCCTCCTGGTGTAACGAACGACCGTGCAGCTAGGTTCACCCGGCAGCATCGGGCCCAACAGCGATCATGCAATCACAAACGACGCAATGGGCGGTGAAGCTGCAATGCTTTCTGTCAGCCCAGAGGAAACGTGTCGAGCAGGGGGGCAACTATCGCGAGCACGCGGAACGCCCTGAAGGCCAACACTTCTGCGGGGTCCAAAAGAATAATCTCCCCAAATGTTGTTTCCAAAATGGACGCCGCATCCGCTTCTGAAGGACCTGTGACCCCCTTAACCAATGTATGCGCTTTACAAATGGTATGTCCATACGTCAGGGTTCGAAGACAAGAGTGGCCTGTCATTTCCTTCCCTGGACATGGACAAGCGAACTGCAACAACATCGCCGACAAAAGGAGACAACCTGCCGACGACCTCGTGACCGCGAACCCGTCCAGCGCCCCCGAACCCAAGGAAGAGAGCCGCCACAACATACGGCCCTCTGGGCCTTGGGGAAGACAATGACCCTATATCACGGGCTGCTCGAACCTGCGGCCCGAATCGACATCTTGTCCTGCTTGGCAATGCTGCCGATACTTCGTATATCGTCCTCACGGCTGTTGGTATTGTGCACACGCATGCGTATGCCTTTGATGCGTCTGCGAATGACGTTGTAACCATACAATGTCGTGCTGACAACGTTGGCAATGAGGTCGAGGTAGTCGCTCCCGTGTGAAACTGACCATGAGCTACAAGACTGCCGCTACCAATCCAATAGAGCTGCATCTCCAATTTGGCTTGAACATACTGTTATTCAGACTCATTGACACGGAACAGTGGACGTGAGAGAAGTCAAGACGAGAGTGGAATACTGATTGTGATGCGTGGGAGGCGAATGAAGACGAGGAACGAGACATCGGCGGCCAGCAATCTTGCCCTTCAGTGGAAGAGGTATCACCAAGGCTTCCACACCAAACTAGATCCACCAAAACTTTGGCACACGTTGACTGGGAAGGTACATCAACTTTGGATGACGCCAGACATGTACCACACCAATTTGAACCGACACCGTACGCCCTGGCGCGTTGAGCCCCTGGTCAAGTGCTGTCTGTCTGGGCCCGACTCGCCGCAGATCAGAAGTGTTTGTACTATTCCAGAAGGCCATCTGAGAGGGCTCCGAGTCGGCCCACGAGGGTTGCAATATGGCCCCACGACGGCCCCGAGAGACCCTCCAGAAAGCTGAAGTTACCCCAAACACGGCCCAAGAAGACCTCGAGACGGCCAAAGATGGCCCCGAGACGACCGAGGATGACCCCTCGGGACCCCCACGACAGCCCAAAGGAGTCCCATGAGGGCTCCTCGTGAAATGGGGACAGGGGGTGTCACACGTCAGGCGGTGCCCCCTGGACGGTGCCCGAATGGCCGCCACACGGAGTGCTTCGCTGGCACGACGGCGGATTAGCCGCAAGCACCTGGATACATGGCTGCCGCCGTCCTGGGGAAAGCCTACGGTGATGGCATTGGATAAAGAAACCTTAGGTGAAGAATCCAGGGTCTGGAAGCCGGTGGAACTCCAATCGTGGACTGGCCATGGATATCACCGCCACCCTCATCAAATAAGGAGCAACCAGGGTCTGAAGCCTCCTGGGCACGTTCATTAACGAACGCCCCCACCGTATGCCCAAATCTACGACCGCGTCCGAACCCTGTTCCTGAGGTTTTAATCGGCGGTGGGGTATCAGACTCCCCCCTCGCTGGGGTTCACCTCGCTGCCGACATCCTTCGAATCCTGAGCCCTGGCCTGCGTTTCGGAAATCCGACCTGCAGTAGCAGGGCCCACGTGTGGATTTCCAACCAAAATCCAAGGGTGCCTGGTGCAAGCCAGCCCCATCCCCACCCCAAGCTCTACATGCCCACCAATGACTAACAATGAAAAGGACCCCGTAACCCGTTGGGAAAGAATCTAAGTTAGGAGGGCCTGGCAATTACGGGTAAGGAGTCTCTTCTCTGCAAATTTACCAGCCTCGAACGTATCCCTATCCCTAAGATTGACACGCCAAAAGGCGATGACAATCTTAGGGATTCGCCCTCAAAAATAAGGGAATCCCTAATATTGGCATCGTAATGAGGAGGTGCCCAGTCTAGGGATAGGGATATGTTCCAGGCTGGTAACAAATGTATCGAACCGAGCCGCCCAGATTCATGATCCTTACTGCAAAGACGGGGACCTGCGTGAGGCCACGCCTTCACTGTGCCATTCCGGGTTGGGGGTCCTACTACAGTCGGGGCGTTGACCCAAGGAACCCGAAATAAGGAGCGAGGCCCCTTCTTTCCATAAGTGAAACTTCGATCTCCCATCGAAAACCTAGAGAAAACACAAGGGAAGCTGTGAAACAATCAAGGCACACGGAGCGCCTCCCCAACGAAAGGGGTTCCTTCTTCAGGACCCCAACTGTATTCTCGATGGGCCAGCCCGTGCTGAAAGCCCAGGGCCCAGCAGCGGAGCTCGAGACCGACGGGCGGACGCCCGAAGCATCTGGGCGGGGAGGCCTCTCTGGGGCTTCGCGGCGGCTGGGCGCCGTCCTTGGCGTCTGGCAGCCAGGCGCGAAAGAGGTCTGGCTGGTGCACGCGGCCCACAGCGGCTACCTGACGGGACTCCCAAGAAGAGAAATCAGTGCACCGACTGTGGAAATATCGTTTCCGTCTGGTTGCGATTGCGTTGAGACGTGGTGTATGTTGGTGGGAACGTTCGCCCTCCCAGCTGTTCCACTGCGCCTCATGAAGAGCCTTCCGGAATCATCCCGGACGGCTGCCTCGGGGCCAAACCATGGCTCGAAGGCCGCATCGCCAAGCTCTATTCACGAGCGTCCCATCCACGCACGCACGGAGGAGCGCCGAACACTGCGCAGAAGCTGCGCGGATTATGCCGCGAGCGTCGACAACCTGCTGCTTCCGCTGCTGGTGGAAACAGAAACAGACCAATAAGGAGCACGAACGCGAGGACGGTGCAAGAGAATGGATACCTCTTCAGACTGAGTGCGCTTATTCACCCAGAGCGCTTATGCCTTAATCCAGGGGATTACCCCTGGCTGTCCGACTCTTGCATAACATATCGTATCCCCATCCTGCCAGGAATGTTCCGAGTAGTTTCAATACGCTCTGAATGAAGCTACACACACTCGCAACAAATACCATAATACACAAGCACACACGCAGCGACACCATACGGTATTGCCAATAAATAGGTTTGGGTCGTATTCTCGGACCACCTCACTGGTCAGTGACCGCCTGCATGAAGGTACTCGTATTCCCAAACGCGATGAAAAAGGGCACGGTTTTTGTGACGGCCAGGTACACATTATGAAACACGCCCCGCCATGGAAAAGGTCAACTACAGACGGGCATGCATTCCAATAGTCCAATAGTGCATCCGTGCCGGAGACAGACGCAAGCCAACGCGAACGCAAAACATGACAAATCGGCGCTTGAACCAAACCTCGCGCTCGCCGAAAAAGCAAACACAACAATAATCCGCACTGCGAACTCCCACTTCAGCCGGGAAATTACCCAGGGGTCGTGGAGCACCGTTTTCGGTGTGTCGTGCCTGGGCACGCTTGGAACGGTGCCTGTACTTAGAAGTCTCCTAGATGGGGTCCGAATAGATTGGGTCGGAGGATCGCGCTAGATCGCCGATGCATCGGCGATGCACCGGCGATGCACGTCGACATGAGCGATGCATCGGCGACGTCTACGTGAAGCGAATCGGGATCCACATCGAGCCGCATCGGCGATGCATCGGCGATGCGGCGCGATCCTCCGACCCCATCTACCCCGACCCCATCTAGGAGGCCTAGATGTACTAGTATTTGCAGCCGCGGAGCAGCTTGGGGAACCGTCGAACAACCGCAGAGAGCTCAAGCCGCCAACACCTCGGCCGCTTGCCGGAACGAGGCAGCAGGCGGCAACTGCTCGGACTCTCTCCCCCCTCTCGGGAGGAGCCACGGGCTGGCCCCTCCGCGCCCCACTGCACAGGCTAGCACCGAACGAAGGAGCCCCAGGGGGGGGGTACGCTTGGGGGGGCTCTGGCGGAGGAGGCAACTGGGGGGAAGATGTGCGATTCCCCCGCGGGTTTTGCCCCCTCCCCCCCTTCCCCCTCTCCCGCCCCCGCGCGCAGCTTTCGTGTCGTCCCTCGTCGTCGTTTCTCCCTCCCTTGCCACAGGGCTCCTCTCGGCTGGTAGAAAAAATACGCCCTCGCGCCCGACAGGCAATGGCGCTCGGTGCGATCAGGGCCACGCGAGAGGTTTCACACAACACTCCCCGGGTGCCCCCTTCCTGGGTATGAGGCGCGGCTCCTGTTCAAAACTGGGCTTTCGCCCGGTTGGACTTTCCAGGGGGGTCCTCTGGAGGAAGCGGCCCAAGGGGGGAGATGCGCTTTGACGGCCAAAAGCCAGAGGTGAGGTGCCTCCTGCGCCAAACCAATCTTGGCTGCGGAACGGCGCTTGGCCCGGTTGCCATGCGGCGTCAGCAGCCGATGGCCAGCCAGGCTGCGTCAGTGCCATGTCCCAGCAAGGAGTGGAAGAAGATGGGAACTAGGAGGAAGAGGGGATAGTGTGGTGATTTTGAACGACCGGCTGATGAGGAAGAGAAGCAGGAGGCTGTGAAGGGGGAGGAGTAGGAGAAGGACGAGGCGAAGGAAGGGACGAATGATGATGATGATGATGATGATGATGATGATGATGATGATGATGATGATGATGATGATGATGATGATGATGATGATGCTGATGATGATGATGAGGAGGAGGATAAGGAGGAGGAGGAGGAGGAGGAGGAGGAGGAGGAGAAGGAGAAGGAGGAGGAGGAGGAGGAGGAGGTCGAGGAGGAAGACGAGGAGGAGTGGGGTGGAGCAAACCGAGACGCGGTCGAGCGTGGTCCCCCACGCCCGCCAAACTCAACCGCCCGCGGGCGAAGCGGCGCGCCTTTGCGCGGCGCAAGACCGAAGGGCCCCCACCCACAGAGGGATGTGGTGGGCAGGCCCTCGGCCCGTGGTGAGGCACCACGGCCAGCGGCCTGGCCAGCGGCTTGGCCAGCGGCCCGCCCCGCGGGCAACCTGGCCTGGCCGCCTCAGCCGCGCTGCCCGCGGCAGGCTGGCGGAGGCCCCGCGACCCGACGCACCAGCTCGCCGAAGGACATGGCGGGCGGCGACGGGGGCGGGTGGGGCGACCGCGGCGGCTGCGCAGGCGGACGTGGCGTCCCGCGCGGACGTGTGCCACGGCCGTCGTCGCGCCGCAGGTCAGCAGCTCCTGCGACAGCCCAACCCGCAGCGCCTGGGCCTTCGGCCAACAGCGGCGGCGGCTCGGGGGTCAGCATGACCAGTCCGCCGCGCGAGGCAGGTGGCTTCGCCTCGGGCTGGTCCAGCTCCTCGAAGGGCCCCCGCTTCTCCAGCTCGGCGTCGGGAATGACGTCGGGCACGGCGTCGGGCTCGACGTCGAGGTCCGCCCAGAGCTTGACGGTGGCTGCCGTGATCAGCGAGCTCGTGATGAGGGCCCGCCTTGCAGCCGAGCTGGCCTCGTCGATGCTCGGCCACCTGCCAAATGGGGCGCTGCTTAGCTCAGTGGGCCCAGCAGCGGACGGGGTTCCCGTGGTTAGGGAAAGCGCGCCGCCCCTTGGGCGAGCAGTGTCATTGAGGGCAACCATCGCCAGCCCACCCTCCGTAGCCGTCGCCCCGTCTTGCTGGGCACCCCTGGCCTCGCTGCAGCTCCCCGCGCCAGCCGTGCCAACGCCTCCCGCAGCGGCCCGCTCAACGCCTCGGCCCTCGGCAGCAGGGCGGCCCGTGAGGGCCGCGGTGAGGCGCGCGACGCCCCCCGCGTTCAGCGCGATGTCGTCGTCGCCCGCGATGGTCTCCGAGGAGCGCCCCGCGGGGAAGTGCCAGCGCCTCGGAGTCTTTCCGCTCGGCGCCGAACACGGTGTCAGGCTCCATGTCGCAGCCTGCGTCGCCGCGCCCCGCCGCGAGCTGGTCGCGCACCCCGGCTGCAAGATCTTCTAGGGTCGGTTCCGAGACGTGGGCACTGTGATGGCAGCCCCCGTCACGACTAACCACTGCGCCGCGCTCATCACCTCCCCTGGCGAGGTCAGCGCCGCCGCCGCGCCCCGCAACAAGTGGGTCACGCACCTCCACTGCAGGCCTTCGGCGCGCAAGCTGACGCCTGGCCTGGGCGCCTGCGCGGCGGGCGGCCTCGCACCACTGAGACGCCTGCGCCTGCCTCCTTCGACGGGGGCCTCGGGCAGATCTAATCTCGAGCCGTAGTCCGTGCGCGCCGCATCGTCATCCCCCGCCTGGATGTCGCCCATGGAGCGGTCGCGTGGCTGTGCCTGCCTCGGGGGGGGGGGGGCCTTGGGGCGCCCCCAGAGCTGCCCCCCTGCCCCCCCGTGGCCATCGCGCCGCCCCTCGTGGTGATCGGAACCCGCCCGCGCTACCCCTCCAGTAGCGGCGCGCCCTCCATGCCTCGCGCCAGCGGCAACCCCCTCGCGAGGGCTCATGGCGCCCAGCGGGCCCACGGGCATCGCGACCTCCACGCCGTCCACGGCGCCCAGAGCGATGCCGAGCTTGGGCCCGCGTGGCGACGGCGAGCCTGGCAGCCGCGACGGCGCGCGAGGACCTTGTGAACTGACGCCCGTGGCGACTGGGCCTGATAGCCGCATTGGCACGCCAGGACTTTGCGAACTGACGCCAAGGCCCTGCTTGGCATCTCGATCATCGCCGCCGCCCCGAGCGCCGCGTCGGAGCACAGACCTGCCGGCAACCTGCCGCGCGAGCTCCAGGGGGCTCCGCCAGGCCCCTCGCCTGCGCGGGAGCTGGATGACGCCCAGGGCGCCATCGTCGCCGACGTCGCGCTCAGCGATGTGCCCGTCGTCGTCGGGGCACAGGGTGGCGCCTGCATTCGGCTAATGTCCTTGACGCGGGCGCTCGAGGTGCTTTCGCCCAGCTGGCGCGGCCCCTTGGCAGTTGGCGAGCAGGCCCCGCCCGGGCGCGCGCAGCGCAGGCCGAGCGCGGCAGCCGCAAGCCAGGCGCGCCCAAACGTCCAACTACACCTGCAGCTGCACGTGTGACTCGTGGAGGGCGCGCCGCTGGATCTCCCCGGGGGGGGGGGGGCTTGGGCCCCCCCCCCTTCCCCGATCGTCGTCGGGGACCCCTCCCCCCTTCCCGATCGTCGTTGCCCCCCCCCCCCCCCCCCTCTTTCCCCGACCCGTCGTCGGGCCCCCCCCCCCCCTCCCCCTTTCAAAAAGGGGGGGGGGGGGGGGGGGGGGGGGGCGAGCCCCCCCCCTCCCCTCCTTTCGCCACGCCGCCCCTGTCGCCGGAACCCGACCCCTTCAACCCCTACCCCGAGTCCTCACCCTAACCCAAACCCCTAATCCTAACCCCAACCACTAATCCCAGCCCCAAAGAATACTCATTACTCATTACTCACTGCCCACTCCTGACTACTCGCTATTCGCTACTCACTTCTCACTCCCCCCTACTCACTAGTCACGACTCACTACTCGCTATCCACTACTCACTACCCACCACCCACTACTCGCTACTCACTACTCCCTACTCACTATTACCTCCTCCCTACTCACTACTCACTCCTCACTACCCAATA